GTTTGTTGCAAGTATTTTCTCCAGTTCTGAATGTTGGTACTTGGTTTTGTTGTGTTTTAAGTACTTTTTGCATCAATTTTATTCTATATGTAGTCGTAGTAGGTTTCTAGTGGTTTCGTCAAGCAGTTTGTAATCTTTTGTTGTGTGAGAAAAAGAAGTTTCAGGAACTTTAGTATAACATTTAAATCCCTGCTGTGTAATCATGTTGTCAAGTGGTTGTAGCAGAGTGCAAGCTTGGTTAAATTCTTGTTGTAGTTGTTGATGAAAGCTAACCCATATTAAGAGGGCAGCAACTACTTAGTTCCGAGTGATACTTGTAGAGAAAATCATGGAGAACTGCTACAAAAGTGGATCATTTTTAGGTCAACTTGCATTATTTTCGATAGGGTTTGTGTGGTATTTTGAATAAATGAAGTGGACGTGAAGTGATTGGCTGGTGAATTTTGTAATGCACTTGGTGGAATAAGTGATTATTTACCCAATATAACAAAGACAAATGGGCTGAGTGCGTATTTCAATTGATAACTTTTATGTAAAAACACGAGGCCAATTTTAAAAAGCGAGTTTAGCTGTGAGTAAGACAAAAATTATGCTTAGGTAATTAGTAAATTTGTATTAAAACAAATGAAAAGCAATTCGTAAAGCATCTAACGTTTCCATATTAAATAGTTAGACATGGAATAAACAATCAAGCAGCTATGATTCATGAGAAGTCTTATTAGATTAGAAAAACGGAATTTTATTTAAATATAATAATAATCAAATCATCACGTGTGAGTTTCAATTAGCTTTACTATCAAAATTATACCTAAGCATTATGTTATTTTGTAAAAATGATGTCTAATTCTAAATATACAAGTATAATAAAAAATGTTAAACTTTATAAAGACAAGTATGAATCAATATAAACGTAACCCAGCTAGCTATATTAATACAAATGAAAAAAATTTAAATAAAAATTTAGGAAGTAGGAATAGGAGCACCAAAAAGTATGGAAACAAGATAGGAATGGGTGGGATAACATTACAACACTTGGTGTTTTTTGACATGCTGCAACCTCAAAGTGGCTGAGGTCTTCCTGAGGGTTGAACGAACACTAGGGAGGTCTCCCCAACTGAAACCAGCGAAGCCACAACTGATGATGATTACCCCACCTGCAGGTAAGGTTATGGTAGTGAATGAAGGTGATTCAATATGAATTGCCACAACACCAGCACCACCTAAGAGGTCCTGTGAAGCGCCTTAAAAAGACTAAGGATAGAGCTCCACCCCATATCACTAATGATGGTGATAATGAATAAGCTGTTTCTAGACCAAATCCAGATCTATAAATGGTATTATCAGAGATAAGAAGCAACGTGAACCAATGTCTGGGCATTATACAACTATGAAGAAGGCTGACTGTGGAAACATACAGAGCTCCCATCATGATTAGAAGAAGAAGCTCAGTGGTCATGCATAGATATGGTCCAGACCCGTAAGGCTCTGGCAAAAGACAAGGACCTCACCTAACAAATGACTACTACCAATAGAAGATCCACAGCTGCCCTGAAACATCTCCTGATGTAGTTAGAATGAAATAAGGTGAGATATCTTACGTTGGATTGTCCTGAGAATGGAATGTAAAATAGAGAATATAGTATTCTTTATTATAAAATTCGAAGAATCATCTCTCTTAAGCGATTATCTGATCATCATCATTTTCTGTTGTATTTCCGTAATAAAGGGTTTTTGTCATAAATTCACGTATCTCAATATCCTCCCCTTTTAATTCTTCATTGTAGTTTATTTTGCTAATTTGTTTAGTTTTTAATTCATATTTTTGATGTATGTTTGTGAATAAAAATATTGATTGTATACAAAGTATTGTATATAGGTACCCATTGTAGGTATTTTAATTGGAGTCTGTATCATGGTTTATTTCTTCTTTGTTTAGGATCCTGGGTATTATTATTTAATATTGTCATATATTTAGGTGGTTGTGTTATAGCTTTTGATTTACTTTTGATTACACTAATTTGTTTGCACGTTATGGGTTTTGGTTTTGCATTTCATGTATGTTTAATATGCGTGGGATTAATATATACTGTGGCTAATGGTTTTCTTTTATTTTAGTCAATGTCTATCTTGTAAGATGATTAAAATTTACTGTCGATTTCTAAGTGTTTTGCTTTATCACCTACTAATTTTGTGAAATGGTTTATTATAGCGCTGTAAGCCTAACATTATTAAAGTGTTTTGATTCATGTATAACTATTGAATTGTAGCCATTTTTGATTAAAAGGTTGATTTTGTGTTTGTGAACTCATTTATATGATTAAGTATATGGCCTGGTCTTTAAGGCACTCAACAAGCAATCTGTGGGTTTCGAGTTCGAATCCCCTCGCATGCTCATTCTTTCAGCCACTGGGCATTATAATGGGATGAATAATCCTACTTTTTATTAGTAAAAAATAACCCAAAAGTTGCTGATGAGTGATCTTGACTAGCTGCTTTCCCTCTAGTCTATTGTTTCTAAGTTATTGGTGACTAATGCAGATAAGTATCTTTGTGCAAAATTTAAGAAACAAACATTTTGAAAGGCCTGTTTCATCATGTAATTCAATGATAAATCCATTTTAATTTTTTTATTTTTACTATACATTGACTTCTTTGTTAGAGTATTGTTGTTTATAAGTAACTAACAATATGAATTAATCTGTATCTTATTCTTCAAATGCTGCATCGCTCATTAATTTATTTGCTACGTTGTCTGTGTTGTGCATGTTTTTACAGAGTAGAGAAATAGTCATGCCATTCCTTGGCCAACACATGTTTGCAAACTTCATTAGGTTTAAAGCTAAGATTAATGTCGGCTCGAGGATAAATTTGGAACAAATGACACAGAGAAAAGTTGTATGTAAGTAGACTATATGTTTTGTACCTCCTTGTGTGATATATGGGCATATCATATGTTTCCACCATCTTTTATTAATATATGAATTTTTTAATAGTTTTGTTTAGTCCAATTCTATGCAGTTTTTGCATAAACACATGGTTCAGAACCATGGTGAAATTGTTTCATTATAGTTACCTTTGTGTCTTTTTTCTTCTCTAGCAGAGAGTATCTACTTGTATGTTGCTTCAACTTCAAACAATGTGTAGAAATAGGTCACTGACAGCAATTCCCTTCACTGACCAAGTAGATGATGTTTAGAGGTTACAGCCTTTATCCCTTGTATGAGAATGACCAGTCACATGGTAAAACATATTATATTTCGTTAAAACGAAGATTACCTGTTTTTGTAAGAAGCATTGATTATATTTAGTTGACTTAGTCCTACCTGGTTTTCAAATTGTTTAGTTTGGCAAACACCTGTCTAGAGAAAAAGAAAGCTACCAATCCATTCACTGATTTGAAGATGTAATAAAATCTTTGTTTATGCAAGTACACTCAATTTTTGTTGTTGTTGTGTCACAAATAAAGATTGTTTCTATTTTAGATCAAGTGTTCAATCTATTTATTTCCCCCAGAGCTTAAAACTCAATTGTTTATATAAATTCAGATTGTTTTGCAAATTTCCTGCTTAATCCTCCCATTATAAAGCAGACGTATCTAACAACTGCATGGGAATCAGTTTACCTGAGAATACCACACTTTTATTCATATTGCTACGCAGCGGAAGTCACGTGACGCTAGTAACACGTCATGAACTTCTAGAAGGATCCTGTCCCTTCCTGAATGCAATAGCGTTTACTAGATTTCGGTATTCTTTTATATATAAGACGGTCAAGACGTGACGGCAGCAATGTAATGTGATTGAACTGCGGACAGGGAGAGACATATTGTTGAGTCGAGCACGTGAGGCGTTCGTTGTAAATTATAGCGTTTGTAATAGCGTGACTGTGAAAATTAAGTGTATTGCAAAGTTATATTCAGAAAGAATAAACCAGTTTTATTTAAGAAAGGACTTGTATCGCTAAAGTTTCTTCGGAAAGAATTTTTACGGAAAATTAACTAACGACCAGAGACGTAACAATATAGGAAATTTTCAAATTTGTTATTTTTGCAGGTATTTACAGTTTCCACATAATAGGCTGGTTAAGAAGGTCATTAAATTCCTTTTGCTCTAGCTATCTACTGTTTGGTGTCATTCACCTAGAGTAACACCTGTTGACATCCAGTGTAGAAGTTAGTTGCAGGGTCACTCATACTATGTGAAGTTACACAGTTATTGTTTCCACTGCAGTTAGGTGACCTTACGAGATAATGACCTCCCTAAGTGTTTAATTTGGAATGACAGTGAAATGGGTAGTGCTAGTTGTTCTGGGTAAGTCGGGGTTAATTAAAGATTTTAGTAAGTAACACGAGATTTATTCAGTCTGGAACAGGATAGCACCAAAGTTAAACATTTTTACAAGCTGATATTGAGTATCATCAGAGCTAGTTCTTCAGTAGAGGAAATTGTCCGTTGTGGAGAGTAGCGTATACATTTTCATTATGTTTATTTCTAATAAAGATTGTTCATTGTAATTGTATATTTGCTGTCTTTATTTCTCACGAATTCACTTATTCATAGAATATAGAATTACTTCGCACTATATATCTTAACATATCTTATCTACGTTATTTAGTGGACCTGTTTTTTCGTTCTTTTTGAAATCAGTTTACTTTATAGTATTATAATATCTTGCCGAAACTTCTGCTGTATAGAGGACCCACCTAATCTACCCTTTCGGGAAATAGGTTTACCTGAAAATATCAAAGCAACATTCGTTATTTTGTGGTACCTGCTAGTTTTGCTCCTTCTCAGTGAGTACCTAAAAACAAGTGAGTTTAGTAGTCAAAAAGTGTAATTTTAATTCAGTATATGCTTTTGTTTAATAAATACCTAGCACTGTTCATCGGAGATTGGTACATACAACTAGAAACAGAAGTGTACATTTACTCTCTACATATCTATTTTTTGTATTTTGTTTTGATATCTGTATAACGTACATAATTGCTATACAATCGGAGCGGCCTCTGGTAAAATTCATAGTAACTGGTGAAAGCTTTGGAACGAGATAAATTTACTGTGAGAAGCTTCACTTTGTGAAAGTAATATCGCAGTTAGGCTTACTTTAGCCTAAGACCAGATTTTAAATGTTAGTATTAACATTACTCAAAAAGTAAAGCCAACAGAAAAGAAAGGCAAGTACAAAATAATAAATTAAATAAAGTGAATTTACGAAGAATTCGTAAGTGTCTTTATGAACTTACGAATTGTTCCTGTTTCTGGAAACAGGAACTATTAGTATTACTATTCATTTTTTATATGCCTAATATTTATTAATTTATTATTAATATTAATAATACAGGCCTGCGAATTTAAAGTTAAACTTCATAAAAGTTATTTTGGTTTTACTTTTAGTAACGGATTTTCCATAATTCAGGTACGCAAAATTCGAAATTAATATTCATTTTTTCTAATACGTAAAGTTTTTTACAAATCTGGAAGAAAAACTTACGTAGATCAAATTATTATTTGTTTACCTGAATGAACATTTTTATTATTATGCTTGTTAGCAAAAATACAAACATACCGAAGAAAATGGAATAACATTGATGTTAAACGAATATGTATCCTCGTTCATCTTGATTTATTTTTTTGTGTGTGAAATCTATGTCTTTTAGTCACAAAACTACGTGTTGTGGCCTTTCTTTTATGCATTGCGTTATGACGTTTTGTGAAAAATCTGTACGTGATGGAGAAAAATAGATATCATTTTCGGATTCAACGTACAGGAATTACTGTTGCACATGTAATTGTAAACATTTCAAGACAATAAAACCATCGCAGGCCTGTATAATTAGTAATATTAGTATTACTATTATCCAGTATTAGTAAAGTATTACAAAAACTAAAAAGCTTTAAAGAGAAATACAGCTTTCAAAGTTGCAAGTGAATCATTTTTAGTTGAAACTTAAACTTTTAAAGTGTAGCACTGTAGTGTAGGCCTGTTTACTGTCTTAATAATAATATTTTATTTTTTAATTTTGATACTCCGTTTAGAATAAAGATTTTGTTTTATAAGTTTACCTTAATTGAACTGGCATAAGTTAAAGTTCAATTTAGTTAGCCTCAGTTCTTGTAAGTTGTATTTCACCTGGTGAAACGTTGTGGCAAAAACATAGCTATTTAGTATTCACAAAAGTATTGTTGGTATGTTGCAACTTGCACATTGCAGTATTGCAAGTGTAAAATACTAGTGATATTGAAAAAATTGGAATAAGTTTGAAGAAAATTCTGAAACTACTTTAGTATATAGTAATAAAATAGCTTCTATGTAATTAAAAGTAGCATATATTCAATATCAAGTGAATGAAGTTTTCAAGTAAAAAAAACATTATTCTCATTCATTAATCAAACATGGTATTTTTAAATGTACGATTTGAAAACTTGATCTTTACCATTGTGAACCCCCTTTTCTGAGAATATTTACATAACCTTAAAAGTGCCTAGGGTTTCACAGGTAAGAAACATGGATGTAGGAAATAATGATATATCTATATGTAGGTTTGGTGGGCCCAAATACCTAAAGATATTTATTGTAGATACTGATACACCTATATATATATATATGTATTTTCTTAGTTATACAGTGAACCATATGTATATGCCTGTGCATTTGTGAAATTGCATGTTTTCTGTGTAAAATAACAAGTCATACAATAATAAGCAAAATAATATAGTCCAAAATATCTTTACTCTTACTTTTGCCTGTTCTCTTTAAGGGCTTCTTTGTCCATTGTCCCTTCTCATTTGGTCCCAGTTTCCTAGTTGAGAATTTTGTGCAATTTTCTGGGCTGTTACATGCATTTGGGCCTGTGATCTTCTGCTCCTTGTATTATTGCTTGTTAAACCATATTTCTTCTTCTCCTTGCTTGTTGTTGTCGTCATTATTTGGACATTCCCACCTTGAATACTTCCTGTACTCTATCATAACGACTGGTTCGTGTTATTTCTAGACTGTTCCTTTCTTCCAAAGACCTGGGCTGCTTAAGAGGACAATCTGATGTTTTCTTCTATCTCTCTTTCTCTCTGCCCTTTTTTGTGCTATATAAGCTGTCCATTGCCATCATGCTTAAACTTCCCTCTTTCATGGAAACCATCATCACCTATTTTTACTGTGACAGACCTACTCTTCTTAGGACTTGTTTATTTCCACTTTAACAGGTTGAGTTCCCCCAACTCATCCACCTCGCATATTCTTCTTTGGGTTATTCTGTTTATATATTCTTTTATGTCTTTTTCCCACCAGATTCAGCATATCACAGCCACTCTTGCTTCTTTTCACCACTGACCTTTGAAGAAGATCTTATATGCTGGTATGTGGACTATACCTAATACATTCATCCCACATTACTTGCATCATTGAGTGGTTTCATATATCTGTGGTTTTTGCCTTCCCCAGTTGCCATTCTCCAGTCGACTCAGAGGCTCTAGTTTAGTGAGTTTTGCTTGTTGTACTTTTCAGACATCTCCATGGCATTCATGAATTTCATGACATCTTCATGTATGTTCCGTGATATTTGTACACATTCCAACTAATTGCTAATTTCTCAACTAAAACAAAGAACAAAATAAATATTAATAGAAATTAAAAAAGTGAACAGGAGGAGGCAAGACTCACCAGATCAAATGTTACATGAGGAACTACATCCTACTTTTCTTATGCTTAGTGCCATCAGGACCAGCCAATTGGCTGGTGTTGTCTCACAGGGAATATTTATCCAAATTCCATATTGAGCAGGGTAGAGTGGAAAATGTTAAATTCATCTGCACCTATATACATTTGGTATGGCCGTTTCCACATCTTTTACAAGACAAATATAAAAAACGGACAGCACCAGCTATTGTCTTGCAGTTATAATTAGCTCGCTCTTGTTGACTTTAGTCATATTAACCCATTACGCTGTCTCTTGGTGGGGGACCCAATTCCAGCTGATTGTGCCTGATAACAGTGATCCACACACACACTGGAATGTTCTCCTTAGTGCATATTCCTCTCCCTGTTCTTCTAGTGGACCAGAGAAGAACCTTTATTTCCTTAGTTATAAGCTGCTTGGGATGTTTTTACAGAGAGTTTCCTCTGCAAGTGGTGCCTTCCTCATTTCAGATGTAGGGCTGGAGTGTTTATGGGGGGTGTAGTGCAGGACATCTCATTACAATGTCTCCAAGGCAGGTCCTGGTGGATATGTACAGCTAGGTGGGACTTGGACTTGCCTTGGGACACAGGTGAGAACTCCTCCTCCCTCTATTTGTTGTTACATTATCTATTTCATGTAAGTATTTTACCAAGCCAGAATGGCTTAAAGCCCTAGCCACAATACACACTAATGTTTTGCCCATCCTTGAAACATGTTACCACTGGTATTGGATTTACCCTGTATTTTTTACCGTACACCTCTTTATAATGTACATGAATAAATGATGACAAATTAGACAAAGAGTGTTCTCTGCTTGAGAAGGTTGCTGTTTCCTACCAGATGTTGCTCCACTAGTCAACCACAACTCTCTTGAAAGTTGTGCCCCATAAGCTTTCCCTGTCTGTCAGTTTTTTGGAAAGCGTTCATCTTTGTAATTGGTCTGCAGTGATCCAACCACCACCATTTTCAGTGTCAGATTCTAGCTCTTAGTATTGTAGACAGTTAGTTATCTATATGAAATACATTTTCATATAGACACCAACTTCTCTGCACCACCTTCCCATCCAAACACCTCACTTCTGGTGCATTTTATGTGCCTCATCAACAATGAGGCTATGATCATGTGCTAGTACTCATTGGGATTATGGCATGGAGGTCATGTCACTTGTCTATTGGTGGAGGGCTACAGTATTAAGATGATCACATCATAAGCTGGTGCAATACATGTAAACATGTGTAGGGTTGGGAGTCTGGACAAAGCTTGTGACATGAGCAAGAAATTTCACATCAGTTTTGCACAAGGTAATAGATCTTACTGGTGCAGACAGATATCTAACTGAAATACATTTTCAGATATGAAAAATGTCAACTTTTGAAAATCCTGTTATGGTTGAAGACATAAAAAAACAAAGGTTGTCAAAAGGTTGAATTTGTATGTGTTACAGTCAGGGGTTTCAAGGGTAGAAAGTTGTTGAATGGCATTTTTTATAGGCTCCACAGTCAGGCAGATGATGACAGTTAGAAATTGTACAATGAGATTAGAGTAGTTACGATAAAGGATACTGATACATTAATTGTGGGAGACTGACTTCAGAAACATTGATTAGGATTAGATTTGGGTGAATAAATCAATTAACTATGAACATCAAGTAGCTTGATTAGTGTTCCATAAAATAATTGATAAGTTGACATTTGAGTACTGTTTTCAATTATTTCAACTATCCAACTAATTTCACGAACATAATCAACTAATCAAAATTAGTGTTTTAATATTATTACTGTTTGTGATTATTCCAACTATCTAGTGATATAAATATTGAGATTATTATTTTTGATTAATCCAAGTTTGTTTAGCTTAATATTTTATGATCATGTCTCATGAAAATAACCAACTAATTGAAGTTTAAATTTCCAATTATTACAGTTTTCAATTACTCCAACTATCCAAGTAGTTGAAATTATGTTTATTGTTAAGCAGCATAATACTACCAATAAGCTCTGTGCTCTGCCCAGTGTGTGTACTGAAACTCAATTTCTACCATTATTGGTTTGTCTATTTAGTCACCTTGTGAGAATATCTATGTTTTGGTTTTTTTTTAGCCATTTTATGAGAATAATTTATTAATTGAATATAAGTGATTAATGAGCATAACAAATAATCAGCAATTTCAACTAATTGTTCAGCTTTGTTGTTGGTATATTCAAAGTTGCTTTTGCTATCTTTTACCAACTTGTAAATTAATATATGATGGTTCAATAA